CAATTTAAGAAATTCATGTATCATGGTCGTGAAGTAGTCACGAAAAATTGCCAAGATTCAGTTCAAGATTTTGGAAAATGCGGAACGATAATCAATAATCGAAGATAGCCATTTGATTGATCATGGTATTGGCAGTCTAATGGCATTTACGGCATGTCTGTATGTCTATTCTGTGATTTTATATGATTTTTTGAACATATGCCGTTTTTGGTCGAAAACTCAGAAATCATGACGTCACTAAAACCTCGATATCTCAAAAAATTTCCGACCGATTTTTTTGAAACTTTGTCACAATAAACTTCAATCAATTCCCTACAGGTACCCAAAATTTGGCGCGCCTGCGGCGCGCCGTTTTTATGCTATGGCCCGGCGAAAAAGTGGGGGCGTTTAACGCCCCCCCCCCAGCAACTCGCGGGTTAAAGAACTGGTGGGGGCCATCATAGGCGTGTGTAGGGCCCTGAAAGTTACTGTGGCCCTTCATAGGCCGGCAAGGGACCCTCAGAGGCCGGTAAGAGGCCCTGAGAGTCGCGGGTAAGTGACCGTCAGATGCGCTGGCATAGGGCCCTCGGAGGCGCCGGTGTGCGGGCTCTCAGAGCCACGGAAGTAGGCCCTTAGGAGGTACTGGTGTGGGACCCTTAGAGGTGGCAGTGAAGGCCCTCGCAGGCCCAGTTGTGCTGGCCCTCAGAAACACGGTGTGGGCCGTGGGGCCATAGCAAACGGGTATGGGGCCCTTACAGCTGATCCCTCATTGGCCAACAAGGGTCCCTCAGAACCCGGCGTGGGGCCCTTCTGGAGACAAGTGTGGCTTCACAAGAGCCCATGGGGTGTTCTCACAAGCCCTGTGGTCTCCTTTCCAGTTGAAGCGTTGCCAGCGCGGGCCCTCTGCCGCCAATTGGAACCGCAGGGCCTCTCGGGCCCGAGTGGACCCTAAACCCTATAACAGACACGTGCCCCCTCGCCCCTGGCTATACCATTGAATCCAAGTGATCAGGGGCCATTCAGGTGATCAGGGGCCTCTCAGGTGACCAGGGGCCTTTCAATTGACCAGGGGCCCACCAGGTGACCAGGGGACCCTTTGATGACCAGGGGCCGGTTATACCAGGGGCGCCACGGGTAACTAAGGGCCTTCATGTGACTGCAGGGGCCCTTCATATAACCAGGTACTCCCCGGGTAAACATGGGCCCCTCAGGTGACCAGGGTTTCTTCAGGTCACTGTCCAGGGGCCACCCAAGGGGTCAGGGGCCCCTCAGGTAGCTAGGGGCCCCTTAGATAGCCAGGGGCCCCTCATATACCCAGAGGCCCCTCTGGTAACCAGGGGCCTCTCAGATAACCAGCGGCTCTCAGGCAATCACGGGCCCCTTAGGTAATCAGGGGCCACTCAGATAACCAAGGGTCCCTCAGGTAACCAGGGGCCCCTCAGATAGCCAGGGCCCTCAGGTAACCAGGAGTCCTTCAGATAACCAGGGGCCCCTCAGATAACCAGGGTCCCTCAGACAGCCAGGGCCCCTCAGACAACCAGGGGTCCCTTAGGTAACCAGGGGCCGCTTAGGTAACCAGGGGCCCTTCAGATAACCAGGGGCCCCTCAGGTGACTGGGGGACCCTCAGGTAACCAGGGGGTCCCTCAGGGCCCCCGTGGCCCCCCTTAGGTACGTCACTGCACTCAAGTGACCCAAACGGCCCACTTGCATGCTTGATGCCAAAGGGGGAGGCCATGGCCTCTTGGCCTCCCCCCTGGATACGCCACTGCTCATTTCATTCAAAACATCCATAATGTATTGTGCAAGCTTTTGTGTGCAGCACTATGGAGTTAAAAATTTCACTTGTGGTACACTCATATGCCACCAGTGCTCATTTACCGCGGATTTGCTTTGTCTGCATCAAATTGTCCACAGAGAAAAATCGTGCTGAAATTCTGACCTTGAGTTAGACGGGCAACTATGAATCCAATGGGTCTGTAATGGTGAAAATATTTTTGTTGCTGCAGGAAAAAAAGAAGCATTTCTAATAAGAATATGTTCGATTGCGATACTCACAGACATGTTAACCCGCGAGTTGCTGGGGGGGGGGGGGGCGTTAAACGCCCCCACTTTTTCGCCGGGCTATAGCATAAAAACGGCGCTCCGCAGGCGCGCCAAATTTTGGGTACCTGTAGGGAATTGATTGAAGTCTATTGTGACAAAATTTCAAAAAAAAAATCGGTCGGAAAAATTTTTGAGATATCGAGGTTTTAGTGACGCCATGATTTCTGAGTTTTCGACCAGAAATGGCATATGTTCAAAAAATCATATAAAATCACAGAATAGACATATAGACATGCCGTAAACGGCATTAGACTGCCAATACCATGAACAATCAAATGGCTATCTTCGATTATTGATTATCGTTTCGCATTTGCCAAAATCTTGATCTGAATCTTGGCAATTTCTCGTGACTACTTCACGACCATGATAGGTAGGGTAGACCGGGGCAAGTCGCCCCGCCGAGGTAAAACGCCTCACCGATGTTTCTCGGAACTGACAAGGTTCTGGGGAAACATCCTCTCTTCTATAAAACGTGCACTATATGATCATTATATGAGCAGACTGGGAACAAATTGTGATGACTCTTTAGGGAGATATAGCCAAAAATTTGAGTGATTTTTATGTTTTGTAGTCAGATTATGCATCATGGCGTTCTTTTATGGTCCACATCAGGTTAACGACTTGTATGTATTTTGAACAGCTAGTGTTCAACGCTTATAATAATGGGTTGGTCCGTTTTAAATTATCTCTTGCTGGAGTGCAAGGCGTTGTTCTCTGACCGAACCACGTGATGGGGTAAAACGCCCCAGTAGGTCGCGGGGCAAAAAGCCCCATGGGGCGTTTTACCTCATGTGTTGTACCGAATACCCACTTCCTAATGCTCGGTAACTGGCGAACAGTAAGTTTCTATGCAATTTTATGTGCTTTTCTCAGCAAATTAATGGTGAAGGAAGTATTTTGTTAACATTTGCATTGCAATAATTTATTATTTGGCCTTATGAGGCAGGTGAAAAACCTGTACATACAATAGTGTCATAGCTGAACACCTGACAGGATGGAAGGTGCTAACTTCTTCAGTGCCGTGCCTCCCAAGGTCTAACGGGCCTCTCATATAAGATTTAGTCAACTAGCACGTTTAATCTTCGATCCAGAGTATGGGGCTTCTTGCCCCAGGCCGTGGGGCGTTTTGCCCTGGGGTTGGGGCAAAATGCCCCATTTGCAGTTGCTTCACAAATCACTTCCTAGCTGGGAGTTCGATCATAAGTGAATGAATTTGAGGGGTGGAATTCAAAGTAAAATGTCCAAAGAACGCATTGAGCACAAATTTGGCCTTCCAGGTGATGTGGGACAACAGTTATGTAGCAAAATAAATTATCTGGGGCGTCTTGCCCCAGGCAACGCCCTACATACATTTCTTAAATTGAACTTTTTGAGCCAAACACGTACACATATGATAAAATGAATGTCACCATCGTGTTCTACGCCCCAAATTACCCATAAAACATGTGTCACAGGCTGCGAATATCAGTTTTGATTTTCGGGGATATGTGCCTACCCGGTTGACCTGACCTTGACCCTGACCTATGCTTGACTAACCCCTACATGGGGCTGACACTCTTGTAGGCCTTATATGATGGATTGTGCACCGTTTTGACAGAGTTTATGACGAGAGGCGCTCATTGCGAAGTCCTGAAGTCCATGCTACTGAAAGCCCGATTTCAGGTGTTTGACCTGACCTTGACCCGACCTGTGACCTCAAAATTCAACTTTAAAGTACTCATCTGAAGCGTCTCGTCGCGTTCTTTCGTTTGCCGCCTCGTGCGTTTCGCTGCGCCTATTGGTTCTCGAATTATCGGCTGGGTGCGTTTAACGCCCCCCCCCCCCCCAGCAAACGGTGGGTGGCGAAATACCCCAGCAACTGCCGGGTTAAAGGGACCCTCCCACCTTCAAAAAAGTTAATGAATTGGCACGAAAGTGATGTCGCTCGGTTCAGAAAGAGCGAAAACGAATATCTACCAAATTTCATCGAAAAATATTCACCGGTTTTCAAGATATTAGACTTTTACTTTTGTTTACTTTTTGGGATCTCCGCTGTTCCTAGCGACTTTATTTGAAAGTGCGGCATTTGTTGCGCGCAAAGCCGCATATACCACCGCGTGCTACCAAACGCTTTAGTAAAAGATTTAAAAATCGTTAGATCTCCGCTGACGTCACAAATTCTAAGGGGGCATACCAATGCACTAGCCCCTTAGAATCCGAAAACTGCAAGTTTGAAATTCCATATCTCCGAATTAAAGCATTTGTCGATGTTGTGAGTGCCCAAACCGGTATTTGCAGGCCATGGCCACCAATTTGGCTATCTCAACTCAAAACTAATGTTAAGGTGGGAGTGTCCCTTTAACAATATTCCTTCGGCACAGTTTATTCTCGAATAATGAATGTGAAAAACGGTTCTACAATCTACATGGCTTCTGAACTAGGGCCTATATGCGAGCATACGCCTTCTGCACGAATCTCGTATACATACTGCCATTTCTGAAGCACTTGAGACCAACGAGCGACTGTATCAATGCAATGCGGCTAATCTCGGGCATTTGTTGCGAGATGTGCTGGTCGGTGAAAGAAGCTGGCCGTCTTGCCCTACCCATGTGACCGTCTTACCCCATGGGGTAGGGTAAGACGGGTTTTTGCAAGGTTTTGCAAAAATAGCTGCGGTTTATTTGTTGAATCAGGTCTAAGTCTCATCTTCTGGCAAATGGAAGTAAAATGTCTAAAAAAGGTTTTCACTCAGTTTCCCGTTTCTATATGATGTTTCTAACCGGCCGAAAAATGGCTCCAAGTTAAGGTGCCCGTCTTACCCCACTTTCCCCTATGCATGTATGTGTGTAGGTATACTGTATGGTTAAAACACATATGTGTATTATGTGCATTGACACTTCTAGTTCTATCCTATAACAACAACGTTGTGACATTGCAGCACTGCTATGGTAACCGTCGGGACATTGGCTGCCTGTGCTCCAAGGATTCACATTGTGTGGGCAGGTCCAAGTGCATCAACTTCCTGTGCGGAGGCGAGGTGAGCAGCCATAGTGCCTAGTGGGCAGAATATGAATTAGTGATTATCAGAGGCCAATAAACGTTCGATAACGGCCGAAAAAGAAATAATATCATGCGTAGTATTTGAGTCAAGTAGGTAGGTGAAGGTATGTATAAGTTATGTACACCCAGTCTTAAAAGTACCGCGCATCGGTGTGGTGAATCAACCAAGCCCGACTGCGGAAGGGCTGTTAAATTTGAGTGACCGAACCGTTGGACATCCTTACCTATACATCCCCCAGGTTGGGGGTGCTAAAACTGAGTGACCGAACCAATTGACATCCTCATCCATCCCCCAGGTCAAATGGTTCGGTCACCCTCAAATTTAGCAGCTCTACCTCAGTCGGGCTTGATGAATCCACCGCACCGACGCGCGACACTCTCGAGACTGACTACGTTCAGAAATGGGAAGAAATTCAATCGGTTCCCAGATGAATTTGTTAAAAAGTCATATCTGGTGTGCTATCCCATCACAAATGTGAATGAACCGTTTTGTACGAGGATAATCATTCTGACATGATTGGCATGTCATGGCATGGCATGACGTTCTGATCTGTATTTTAAGTGAACATCGCTGCCTTTTCAGGACCCGTACTGGCGGTACAACTGTCCGTCGGGCTTTATCGCGTGCGCGGGCCGGTGCTACGCGCGCCTGCACGTGCCGGTCGAGTACGGCCAGGCGGAGCTGGACTGCGCCGCCGTGGGCGCCATCCTGGCCGTGCCGCGCACCCGCGACCAGAACCTGTGTGTGGGCGGCCTGGCCGGCCTCGAGGGCGTCTGGCTGGGCATCACCGACCGCCAGGAGGAGGGCGTGTTCCAGGGCGCCGACGGCCGTCCGGTGACGGCCACAGAGGGCCAGACCTGGGCCACAGGCAACCCCGACAACAACGGCGGCAACGAACACTGCGTGGAGATCAGAAACCAGCCGCCCAACTTCCAGTTCGCAGAATGGAACGACTGGGTGTGCACGGGGGTTGTCAATTATCCTATGTGCCAGCTGCCAAACGTCAAATATAAACATAGACCTCAAACATAAGGCTGGCCCAAGTCGTCTGTCGTACTGAAGAGTACCTACACCTGCTGTTTCATTGTTTCACATGGACTCTTGGCATACATTACCACCCGACATGATCCTTTGTTATAAATTCACTGGTGACCTTTCCTTTCTTGTTCTTATGTACGCTCTGGGACCTGTGTCATGGACTCATGCAATTTCTAAATGCTAATAGTTCGATACGGAATTGGTTTGACCGTTTTTTTTTTTCTAAAACGCAATCGTTTTGTACCTATGCATGAACATATTGTGATAGCGGCATAGCGCGCACAAGCGCTCATTGCTCAAGTTTGGCAGTACTATCTTGCCTGGAGACTGGAGCCATGCGATGCGACTGGGAAGGTCCCTCACAAGTTTTAAATATAGCTGATTGTAAACTCTATGAAATAGGAGCCTATTTGACACATTAGATCACGCAGCACACACCTTAATTATTTAAACCAACGCATGGAAATGGAACACTTTGTCGTGTGTCATGCCAAGCGAATCCTTAAGAATAGGCGACCCCAGCTGTGATCCTTCACCAATCGATACTCTTCGACGAAGTGCGTATCGGCGTTTCTTAGCCCTACTAGAGTTGTGCAAATGAGACCTTTTTGACTTGTTATGCTCTAACTTTTACGTGACGAAGTGTATGATTGGGTCGCGCCTGTTCACGGTAGCAAATAAAGTACTAAAATCTCGCCAAGCATTCGATCACCTATACCTACAGCTGATTTTCGGGAGCTCTACGGTGACAGCTTTCTTCCCGTCAGATACTCTTAAGCCTCCTCTGACACGAACACCGTGACCCCGACCCGAGCACCGTGACCCCCTCTAACCCCCCGACCCGAGCGGCCGCACTAGGCGAGTTCCACCGACCTCGGCTGTATTTCCCGATACCCCACAGCGCGGAGGAGACAGAGACAGGACAGCAGACACGCGAACAGACAGTCGGACAGGCTGGAGCTCGGCCGGGCTCGGGCCAGAAGGCGCCGCGCCCGCCCGAGCCCACTTTCAGACAGACGGGAGTGTGAAAACTGTTAGATGACATGTATAGCGTACATGTGAAAACTAGCGACCCTGCCGGCACGACTTTTAACAGTAACAGTCACCTAATTCGTTTCCATATATGCTCGTAGGCAGCGAACATTATTTAACAGATTCAACAACAGCATACTGACAATTTGGTTTGCGCTATATGAATTTTCATTTTTTACAAGCATGCACATTACACTCACAATGAAAATCATTAGGAAACATAACCAAAAACATTGCCAAAGTAGATATGATGTCCCCAAAGCATCTAGACTGTTTGCTGGGAGGTAAGGTCACCCAAAAACCAACAGAAACGCACATCCGACCACATTGCGCTGAAGCTTTGCGTGAGTGCAACCTGTACCAAATCTAGATGTGTCCCAGACTAGGGCGCCCCACCCTTCTACCGGGGTTATACAAACAATACTCTATAGAAGCTCGCCATGCCCAGCAGGCAGACTGATCAGACAAGCAACGGATAACAAACGAGCGTTCCACTCTGGACCGGAGCGAATCCGCCGGTTAAATCACACCATCTGCTGCCAGGCATTCTGGCATATAAACCCTCCAGCAACGCACCCCATTTCAGCACAGCGCCACAATACACGCACTCCGATTTCCTGGACATGTTAACGTCAGTCTGTATGTTTTAAAGCAGACAGCGGGCCGATACGGCTGCTCTTTACGCGATTACTGCACTTTACCATGCTCAGCCCCCGGGTGGCGAGTCCTCAATACTATAATATGTCACCGCACTGGTGAGTCCAAACAGCGCCAATCACAAGCTGATAAGTCCACGTCTGTTTCGGAGTCATTTGATAGTTGAATCCGCACTTTTCAGTCATTGGATAAGCGAATTCCATCATTTTCAGTCACTGGATTACCATAGCCGAGCCTTTCTCAGTCTCTGGATTAGCGCGTTGCCTTTCTCAGTCTCTGGATTAGCACGCTCTCGCAGCGTCCTCCGTCGCTGGAGCACCGGCTGCGGGTGCGCCCGCTGGGCGGCGCGGTCATAGCCGGTCCGGGCTGGCGTCGGCTCCGTCCGGGACGAGCTGCCGGCCGGCCCGGGCACGCCCGCCGCCACAGGCCGTGCTGCCCGGCCGGCTAGTTGCGCGCGCCCCGGCCTCGTGCGCGGTCCCCGCCGCGCGCTGCCGGGTCGCCCTCCTCCTGGTGGCCGAAACAGATCAGGTCAAACCAGGTCAGGTCACACCAGGGTAGTTGGTCAAACCAGGGTAGGTCCAACCAAATCATGTGAATGCAGATCAGGTCAAACAAAATCATGTTAAAGCAAGTTAAGTCAAACTACGTCAACTAGGGTAGATAGGTCAAACCAAATCACGTTAAATCAGGTCAGGTTAGACAAGTAGTCACGACAGACCCAGCCATATTCGGTCAGGTCACGTCAGTCACGAAGGCCAGGTGACCACGAAGGCCAGGTGACGTTAGGTGAATATGGTCACGTCAGGTCGGTTCATGCCGCGTCAATCACGATAGGTCAAGTCAGGTCAAGTCGCACTACACCTTTTCTCAATCCGAATCGGCATCCGGTCAGTTAGTTTCGGCAGATCTGCATTAGGAACGTCAGCCGGAGTGCGCTTTCGACAAACCACGCTCCAAACTCGGCATAGTGCAGAGGCGTGACATGCGGCATTTAATTTCGACACTGAGTGTGGTTCCGACACTGGCCAATGGATTTCGGCACACGGCATAGGGCTGTGACATCGGGCATTGGAAAAAGGCAAATTTCATTTTACAATGGCAATGGTCATTCAGTTTCGTTGCCGTTATAACAAGCAAAATTAAGCAAATTTTATACGACATTTTGTATATTGATGTATTTCCAATGCTTACCACTTGAATTTATGGCATTTCATCCTTTTGTTAGACTTCCCTTGGTTAATGGAACACAAAATACGCCAAGGCCGCGGTTTTAAGGTCTGAACGTTTTTTTTTTCTTCTGTGAATGGAGGGTGAGTAGACTAGCAAGCCATGTCAGAGTCGTGAGATGAGAGGATCATGCGGAGGAAGCATCATTGGGTGTCTACCAGTGACCGGTGAGCTGCGGCGGCTGACAAGGCGCCGGTATAAAACTGTCTCGCTACGGATATGCAGCCAAAGCGATCGATGGGTCAGCCCGTAGGGTTTCCACCTTTCCAGAGGGCAGTTTTTTTTTTTGTCCAGAAATACAGTTGACCATGACTGACCAAACCGCCGTCCTGCAAACATTGTTGCCGCTCTCCGGTGACACGCCCATTCCCATCTCGGCAGACCTGAACCATCCGCGTTGGCGGTCAGCGCCACTCACAATGTGTCGACAGATCGACACAAATGAAAAAATCAATATTTTTGTTTTTCATGCAAGAAATACGGCTAAAACATTGTCAACTTTAGATGCGTTGAAAGGAGCGAGGCCCCGAATGACCCCCGTCAACCTTTGGATTCGCCTGGAGCGTGGCCCCGAATGACCCCCGTCGCCCTTTGGATTCGCCAGTGCTTCCACATTGTCACAGAGTGACGCAAGGATGGTGACCTCGAGTGAGGTCAGCTTGTGTGCCGGAAGCGGTTGATGTTAGGGACGAACCGGTGTTAAGGTTCCAGAGCGACTGACGAAATTAGGTGCCCGTTGCCGTATTCGAATGAACGGTTGCCGGTTCGGATTGAAAAAGGTGTGGTTACTTAGCAACCAAGCGCCCATATTGAGTGTCTCTTTACAGTACCGTGGTACATTTTAACGCACATTCTTAAAATGCCTTTCCAAAAAAGATAAGAGTTGCTTAAATCACTGATGAGATAAATTGACCATTGTCTAGCTTGTCTGTAAGCTGCCGACGTAAAATGCAATATGACAAAACAGAATGCCCTTTGTCGATATTAAATGCCCCTGCTATTGTTCAATGACCCTGGTCGAATATCAACAGATGCTAGTCTAAATTCGTGAAACGTGTCGAAATGTGTGCTCAAGTGTCGAGTTGTTGGAGTGCCTGTCGAGATAAGGTGCCCGCTGCCGTATTTGAATGAACGGATGCCGATTCGGATTGAAAAAAGGTGTAACCGTCACACAGTCACACAGGGCCGACAGGGACATAAGATCCTAACAAGAAGCGAGGACAGAAGAAAGAGGTCTGGAGAGGAGGAAAGGGGAGTGGACGGAACAGAGAGAGAGCGAGATCGCGAGAGAGAGAGAGAGAGAGAGAGAGAGAGAGAGAGAGAGAGAGAGAGAGAGAGAGAGAGAGAGAGAGAGAGAGAGAGAGAGAGAGAGAGAGAGAGAGAGAGAGAGAGAGAGAGAGAGAGAGAGAGAGAGAGAGAGAGAGAGAGAGAGAGAGAGAGAGAGAGTTCCCTCTCGTTCGAGTGGAGGCACACGCGGTAGGTAAATCCAACAAAACTACTCGTTCAATGTGTTGAATGCATGGGATAAAGAAGATGAGAGCTACCAGATCCTAATTTTTGTTGATGTCACGAAAGCACATTGACACCAATGCCATCATTGGTGACAATATCATCATTTGGGCCACGTCCGTCTCCTAGAGGAGCCACCTGAAAGAGCAACCTAGTTCCGCCACTCACATACCGTGTGTGCCACGCAAGATCACTTTGTGCCAGCCCGTATCACGTAGTATCGCTGATGCGGATACCGACATTTTGCACATTTTCGATCGACGACCACGACCAAGTCCAATCCATAAAACATCACAACAAGCAAAAAGACACAGCGGGAAGGTGGCAGTTCTGGATTTTTGCACTGGTCCAGAAGTCGACTCTCGCGGTACGACTGAGTCGTACCGTGAGATGCTCCGAAAATCTAATTAGGGGAGACCCGGGAGGTATGGGCCGGTTTTGTGAAAAGGCAATTTACTTTCAGTGGGCAGTGGCTAGACTCGGTTTTTCACTCTGTGTACGTGAAATTGCCTTTCGCCTGCAAAGTGTGCCTGCTATTAGGCATCTGGGATCAACCATTTTGTCTCGAGATAACTTTTAATAAATCATGTGCTTTTTCGATCCATCAAAATACACCGGGAGGTATGGGCCATGGCCCGGGAGGTTTGGGCCGGTGCCATGTTTCATATTCTTGTCTCGACAATGAGAATAATACTCGTAGCTGGTATCTACCTTGATCTCTTAGAGCCCAGGAACCGAATAAGCGGCCAACAGCTTGCTTCATGGAGGTCACTTGGGCCCATATGTATTTTGGTAAACTCAATCATGCACCATGAAATAAGATCAACAATATTTTTCTGTTCGAATGAAATTTGAAGCTAAATTTTCGACCTTGCGCGACAAAAATAAAAGTTATTGACGGGGACATTCAATGAAAGCATCTTTTTATTTATTTAGGATCACCGGGGGTGGGTGGCCCGAACCTCCCGGTTAGGAAGCCATAATGTGCATAGTATCTCACCTCATAATCTTGCCAGAAAGCTTCATACTGTCTATCAAGTCTTAATTTGCATGCTTTATTTGCATTAGCGATGGTCTGACATCATAAAACGAGTCTGGTTCAAATTTATCACAAATATTCTGTATCTACCGTCTTTTACTCGAAGAGGGCAAAAACGCTTTATCACCGCTCATTGCCAAAGAAGACTGAGAAAGGTTTTGAAAATCACGTGGGATGTAATATGTATAACGGAATGGCTGCTACCAGTTAACGCCGTCAAATGTGTAAAAATACGCAACACTTCTTCAAAATTGCGATGGCCCATACCTCCAGGGGGCCCATACCTCCCGGGTCTCCCCTAATGGCCGGATTTGAAGGACGTATCACTAAGAACCACTAAAGTTAAAAAGTTTTAGCCAGACGATGCTTTTTGCCACGTATCTACACAGCAGCCATGAAATGGTCACGGTTTTATAAAATTACAAATATCACCTCAGAAGGTCTCTGTCAGTCAGCAACGCGCGTATGTAGGTACGTACATACAGTCCGATCTGCCCTGTTTCGACTTGGATAGGTTCTGGAGGAGGTTTTGGATACGTCGTCCAATCGAGCAATTGAGGATGAGCGAAATAATTCAAAAGCAAGGTGTAACGATGGTGAATGCCTAATCACCCGCATACGAGGTAGCTGCGAATTATCCGAATGCCTGTGACCGGTAGCAAGATATCTACCACTGACCGAGCGAATGCACGCCGCCGCCAGCGCAGTTAACTACGATCATCAATAGCCAGAGTCGCATCTGTCCAAAGACAGCTCTAATCGACTTCTATAAATGGATGTTTCGCCAGTGAATCGGTATCTCGAAGGAGCAACAACGCGAAACTTAATAGAAATATGTGTATTCACTTACAACACGTCACAGCTGTAGGTATGCAGTAGGTACGCAAACAAGCGCTACCACAAATGCCGACTAATGGCTATATAATAGATAAACCGGGCATCGGAACGATCGGCCTATTTAAAGAATGAAGAGGCATTAAATTCACAGAAACAAAAAACTAGCGTTGTCTGATAACGAATTTCAGTACTCATCAAGCACGCGCTTTTACATGCAGGACCAGGGTGGTCGGAGGTCAATGGTAAAAAGGTGGCCACTATCAAAAACAGAACGGGTTGGTGTTCACAAGAACCGGACATGCCAGTTCAATGAAGGCGGGACGGGGACCAATCTGTTCTCATAAACATATTATCGGAGGAGCACTGGCGCACTGGGCACCCTGGAATGACCCCACTGACAGCCAAAGGAAGGGGCAAGATGAGTGACATACCGTCCGGTTTTTGTGCGGACCGGCACGTCCGGTGACCAGGCCAAAAAAGGTCCTCGAATGCCGGACGTCGAACTATTTTGGAGACACGAACCTGGTCGTCACCAACGACGCTCATTAACAATCAGAGGTTTGGTATTAATGAGCATTCGTCAGCATTGAGTTTCTCCAGCCAATCACCGTCACAATGCCAGCAGTTATTAAACATTGCTTTATTGGAATGCTTTATACCTACTCGTGTTTTGTAGGCAGTGTAAACGAAGCTGTCTCCCATACCAGGCAGCGATACGGGAGCTCACCCTATGGAACCCAAGAAGTTGGAATCCCTGGAACTCATTGTGACACTGTCGTTACGAGCGCAGCGAGCGCAGCGAAGTCTTTTCAATATAACGGAAAAATCTCAGTATGAGCGGCGCGGCCCGGCCCGGCCCGGCCTGTAACGCTTTTGAGAGGCTTATATCTCAGCTTAACCGCTG